AGTGGTAGTGGCAGTGGCAGTGCCAGTATAGTGGTAGTGGTTGTGGTAGTGGTGGTGGCAATGGTAGTCGTCATAGTCATGGCGTTCAGTAGTACTGCCAGTGGTAGTAGTAGTAGTAGTAATAGTAGTAGTAGTAGTAGTAGTAGTAGTAGCAGTACTAGTAGTAGTAGTAGTAGTAGTAGTAGTAGCAGCAGCAGCAGTGATAGTAGCAGTTGCAGCAGCAGAAGCAGCATCAGCGGCAGTAGCAGGGGTAGGACGACGCAGACTTACTGACGTTTACATGCTCGGTCCACCAGCGGCATCTTGGCTCGGCACACACCCACGCCGAAAGTCCCAGCAACCAGAAGTCCCTGGTCCTGACTCGTAGCGGTCCAAAGCTACCGCTCAATCATCAAAGAAAGCAAATAGCTGCAGAAGTTGCATAAGCATACCTGAGCATGCCATGCTTTCACTCTGTGTCTTGGCATCAGGCATCAGAGATGTAGCCTTGACTCATCGTTGCGATCCTTGGCCATGCATGTGCTTAGACAGCTGCAGATATTTTTGACAAGCCTGTGTGGGATCCGCTATCATAGAGAGGCGCTGTGACGCAACAGGAGAAGTTTCGTCTTGAAACCACCTTGGAGGCAAATCTGCTGTCATGTCGGGTCCATGAAACTTCACCATGCTTGGTTCTGGGCAACGCGAGGAAATAGAAACCAATGGCCGCCGGAGCTGTGACCCTCACACACAGGAGAAATGCGGAAGTGTGTCGTCCGGCCACAAGGGCTCTCCATAGCGACCCATCCGAGTCTCTGGCACGAAAGCAACAGACAGCCGCATCAAGAACAGACCAAGATATTCAACCTGGAACTGCGGGAGATTCGTGATACCAAGTTTACGCTGACCTTTTAAGTAAAGCAGCCAGGCAGAGGAAGATGAAGGCTATGATGACCGTCCTGAAACATCAAGCAGACATTCAATCGATGAGCTTTAGGCTGTAATTCAGTTCAGGCCAAAGCAGTGCGACGGCCATCCACAACACTTCAGCGTTCCTCGGACTCTCATCGTGGTCTGCAGGTACTTGGATGTTCTGCCTATCCACATAGCGGGGTCAAGTGGGCATCCGGCGACGTAAGACTGTTGATGTCCAGAGCTATCTCGAAGAACTCGTTGCTTCCTGGCTCGCAATACATGGGCCTGCACCCCTGACGATCGGAATTGGGGCCTGCGATGCCCATGACTTGTCCCTGGAACGCACCTTAGCGCAGAGAACTGGCCCCGCTCACTTGCGGAGCGCCAAGCCCTTCAGAGGCCAACACCGACCTTCGGCAAGCACAAGACGTTCGCCACAGGCACGGAGGGATAACCCTGGAGCCGGACCTCCCAGGAGATGAGAGTCGACTGTGGGATCTGCACAAAAACGTCGGGACCTGCCCCGGCGGAGCAGGGGCCATGGTCGTGACCTGGAGTCCCACTGGGCTACGGCTATTGCACGGACAGAAGGGCCTGCACTGAGCTCCCTGCTACAGTGGTTTCCTGGAAAGTTGGTGCAACCGTTGCAACCGGCTCCGGCTCGCTGGGAGGCTGCACCGTTTCGCCGAGCGTTCCCGCAGTTGTCGTCACCTGCCGAGAGCCGGATCTTGCTTTACAAGCCTTCTTCGCACGCGTACGTGTGCGCCTGTGGCGATGGGTTTGATCCGAAGAGAAGGCTGTCTGTCTCGGCGATGCCAGCTCCCTGGCTGCGAGCTGCCCTCCCATCGGGTTTAGGGTTTAGGGTTTAGGGTTTCGGGTTTAGGGTTTAGGGTTTAGGGTTTAGGGTGTCCCAGAGACCCCGGAGTTAGGCAGCGCTCAGTCTCAGTGCCTGGGTGGCGCTCACTAGGCCACCTTGAAGCCTCCTCGCCTCGGATTGCCGGCAGGGACTTGAAGCATTCCAGCGTGTTGACGTCGTGTTTACGTTGGTAATATACTATAATATACTATAATATACTAAAACATACTATAATATACTATAACATACTATAACATACTATAATATAGTATACTATAATATGATAATCAACCCCCTTGCCGAGATGAGCCACTGTTTGGAACGGCTTCAGGATCGTCGTCACTGGTTCGCTGGCTGTCGGGCAGGCGTCCACACCTCGACGGAAGCAAAAGGGCCAGCTTGCTGCTGTCCGTCCGAACCAAGTCCCCGGCAGACTTGTTTATGCAAGTTCAATCCACCCTCATCTTGTGGAAAGAAGATGAACTTCCTCAAGGGTCCCATGACATCCATAATGCAAGGCATGCGTCGGAGAACCCTACCAGGGCACCGACCCCACACACTGGGTTCCCTGGTAGTCTGGCAAAGACTCCAGCCCTGAAGCGCCATGACAGAGAGACTAAACATACCATGCAGCGCGGTTCTTTGAGGGCCCTGCGATTGATGTCACCCTTGTCGTAGGCAATATAGATGCAGGCGCCCAACCCAGCCAACCTGAATGCAGCTCATCCTGACCAGCTGTCATGTCTGCAAGAAGTGCAAGAGTATTCCGAGCGTGAAGCGCTGCTGCGAAGATCAGAATGCAACAGCAATCCGTACAACTTCCTCAGATACCGAGATAAGATCTGCTTGACTGCTTAACTGCTTAGCCAGGAAACGTCAAGGCTCTCAGACTTTGAGAACCTGGCTCTCAACATCCAAAGGGGTCCTGGGCAGTTTGCCGTCCTGTCAGCGGAGTCAGAACTCATCTTGCTCTGAAGGTCGGCAGACACGTAGGCCTTCTTGATCGGCATCGTGTCACCAGGTGAGAGCGAAGAGATGCGAGGCTCTTTTTCACACTTGTATTTATCTGGCTTCGTGTGCATAGACCAGCATTGTGATGATAACTGTTCTGTCCCAGCCATGTGCTTTGATTGGTCCGGTTCATTTAGGTGTAGCACCAACAGCAGGTCTGGGTAGAAAGCAGCGGCACATGGTCTCATCGTGTATAAGGTGCATGGCAACTCAAACTTCACTTGGCTGCAGCTCGCAGCTCCATAGCTACGAGTATCGGCTGAGATCTTGCACTTGAAGAACGTGGATATGCTGCCAGAACCTGGCCATGCAGCCAAGAGCAAGAGAAAGCAGGAGCTTTCTCGAGAAAGGCCGGAGAATAGCCGATAGCGGGGTGGAATGACTGAGAAGGGAGCTCGCGTGGCAACTTGCTGGCACCTCTGATTTGGCTCACGGCCTGCTGGAGAGCCAACAAGACATGCCGACACACGCAAGAAACGCGCGACCTCAGCAAGCATCATTAGCCGAGACAGTCCGTCATCGTAGCAGAGCACAGCAACCTGGCGGCGGGAAAGCAGTGACACTCTCAAAAAACTGGCAAAAATGCACGAATCCCTGGCCTCGATCTGTGGAATTGGAACTGACGGGGGTCCTGGTGTGACTGAACGTTCGAGCCCTGGGGGCAAACCGCACGTGACAGGAAGACGCCACACGTGCAGTGCTGCTTAACTGGCAGCTGACATCATGAGTTTACAATAACGACGACCAGGCAGGCACAATGTGACCTGAAAAGATGCGAGAGCGAATTGTGTACTAGTACGTGGGATGTCAAGAGATGTAAAGAAAACTGCGTGGCCAAAGTGCAGAGACATGCAGGGGGAGAAGACACCGATATGTACAGCAGATGCCGAATTCCCCTTGCTCGTACTTGTAAGTCGCTGGCCTGCGCTGGATGTACAACTATCCAGGGTTGAGGCCATCCCTGAAGATATCGGCTCTGAATTTTTGCATGAAGGAAAGCACCAAGCTGCCAGCCGGTTGAAGATATGCCCGGGACAGCCTGGGATGCAACCCCATCCCTGCTGCCAGGTGCGAGTCCGACTCGGACCTGCAGAGAACCTTCAGATCGGCTGCCACCCAAAGCCTGCTCTGCGTGCACGCTGACCCGACACGTGAGCCAAGATAAGGGTGGCCTTTCCATCTTTGCTCTCTTGACGGCCTGAAGGCCCCACCCGAGGCGTCGCGACATGACGTCCAAGCAGGTCCCCAGGGTTCGGGCTTCCTGGCTCCCTTGGCTTGATGGCCTGAGCCCGGCTGCACGGCGCCTATCCCTGCCCGCAGCAAACCGCGGAGCCTTCCGCACAAAGTCGCGCAAAACCCGCAGGAGCTCCGCGGAGGTCTTCATCCGGGTCACCTACGGGTTCAGGAAGCTTGAAAACCGTGGGGTTCCTGAAGCTGGACAGAGGGATCTGCGTTCAAACGGGAGTTGGAATCAGCACTGCACTGGCAGTCATCATATACACCTCATCTTGGGTACTGGTGGTCCAGCCTTCTCCCCTTCCGTGGTCAAACACGGAGGATACAAGGAGAAGCTTCTTGAAGCAGCATTTCAGCTTTGCATAGCTCGAAGGAGTGAGTTCAAAACGCTCTCGCCTCGCGATTTGATTCAAGGTTACAGCAGATTGGAGACAAAAATCAGAAAGGAGTGAGGGAGCCTTTGTGCAGCAAAAAGCCTTGGGCGGCCACAGTGGCGGCACCACGACGTGACTAAAACGTCCTCGGCAGTAGAGATAGCCTTGAACGAAGATCTAAAGAACACGACTTGAGGGCTACTGGCAACAAGCTCGACGAAGCATCAAAAAGGAGAGAAAAAAAGAAAAACAGAGAGTCCTAAACCCTAAACCCTACACCGTGTTGAATCCCATGGCGTGGCTCCCACTGCGCTTCAGGAAAGGAAGAAGTCAAGAAACGTACCATGAGTCACCAGAACTACCACAATGGGTTTAGGGTTTATAAGTGTAAGGTTTAGGGCTTACGGTTTAGGGGTTTAGGGTTAACGGTTCTGCATAGACTTACTAGGGGCCACAGTCGCTAGAATGATGAACTAGCTGAGGGCGCCGCCTGGATCCGGCCCGCGGGATCGATGTGATACCTCCGGGAGGTTTAGGGTTTAGGGTCTAGGGTTAGGGTTTAGGGTTTAGGGTTTAGGGTTTAGGGTTTGGGGTTTAGGGTTCCTCCTTTTGATTTCTTCGGCACTGAAAGCCGTAGCACCGAGACTTGCAGATGCTGGCGCAAAAATCAAAATAATGGGTGCTCATTGTTCTGCGCCGGTGCTGGTGGCTGTCATCAATTCTCGAGGTCTTGCCTACTCCATCACCACAACCATGCTTCTGTTGCCTCCTCTTGGGCTTCCCCTTCTCCAGGATGACTGTGTCCGGCAACATTATGCCCAGCTTCCCTGGCAAAACAAGGCGTTCAAAGGCCCGGTGGGAAGCTGGGCACTGCTAGGGCCTTGTAAGGAAGCAGGGTCTGGCACCCAAGTACCGTCGTAACTCACCGTGCCAGGAATTCCCCCTCCTGGCAGAGTCGGATTTCCTCAAGCAGCCAGAGATGAGATGCCAATGCCCCAACCTTCACTGGGAACGATTTCTGAAATGACCTCAGCAATCACAAGTGAACAAGAAGATAGGCTTCGCCAGACGGGGAGCAGAGGAAGATCAAGCTCTAGCCAAGCAGCCCGAAGAAGCCAAGTGTAGTCACGTTTCACGGTCTGGCCACTGTACATCTGGAGCCTAAAAAAAGGAATCCGGGTTGTGCCTGCACTCCGCCATCCGGTGAGAGAGGACGTTGATCCGCATTCCCTGCCTATGAAGAAGTCAAGACCGGGAAAGGCCGCGTCAAGGGAGCATCAGCGCACCTCCGCACCCCGAACACGCATCGGCGTCCTCCAGCGGAGAACATCCGAGCATATTCTCGGAGCTGCGGGCGCAGCTGTCAAAAGAAGCCGGCCTTTTGCCAGGCAGGCTGCTAGGCGGAAGGCGGGCCTCCCGCCGATTGGACGCACAACACGTGATGATATTTTTACCAGGAAGCGAGCTAACAAATCAGAGAAACCTGAGGTGCTATTGTTGGCCAAACGTCCACAGTGCCTCAAGAGAGGAAAGCAATGCACGGATGATCATGCAGCTTGCACATCAAAACTTAGATGAGGCAAAGGGGACCCCTGGCAGAGGCTATGTGTCGCTTGTGGAAAGCTTGGTGGCAGATTTTGGGGCAGCCCTCGGACAGTACAAGTAACAGCCTCAGGATGTCGATTTCAGGGGTCCTAGGCCATTTCGGGTTCGGTGGGTGCTCGAATCTTTCATCTCGGGGGCACGTGATTCAGCGTGTGATGTGGCACCGAGGTCCAGGTACATTTCACAGAAACATCCACGGCGCGCGAGATGCTGCACGGAGACGCTAAGTCAGGCACTGCTCGTTGACTTGCTCACAGGAGGCAAAGGCCAGTCCTTAAGGTCAAGAAGTGAAAGGTGGCACAAAGAGAGTGAAAGAGCTGCTTCGGGTACTTGGTGTGTGGCAGGACTTACCGCTGGCCCAGCACGTGCTCTGGCTGCCTGCCGAGTCTAAGCACGGTAAACTCTCCTGCTCACGAAAGTCGACTTGATTGCAACCACAGATCGGACAGCGTATCGCCCACTCGATTCTTTTCTACATCTATGGTCTCCCAGGATCTGCTGGCTCGCAGTCAGTCGCGAAAATGTCACAATCGGGAAAGACGACTGCGTCAAGCAGCTCGTCATGCGACTCACAGGGCACTTCATCCTGTCTTTGCTGCAGAAGTCCAAGCCCAATCGATCTCAAAGGCCGGCTTCCCTCCGGTCGCTGTTTCGCGCGCTGCACATAGCGATCATAGAAGCCCATGCCCTGACCACAGCGCCTCCGACTCAGGTCCAGAGCCACGGCCGGGACCAGCAGAAGATCCAAATCCCATGGCTCCACTTTGGGAAAATGCTCCGGAGGCTCGGGGATCTTCCACTTCGACAGCGGCAGAGCCGAAGCTTCCTCCGAGGTTTTTACCTGAGAGTTTCCGAAAATCAGGGGTAACGTATAAGGGGGTCCTTATAATAAGGATCCTACTATTTGGGTACTATATTAGGGTCCCCTATTTTCGGAAACCCCCACCTCAAAGAACTCCATCCAGCCATCCCCCATCACCCGCGGGCAGAAGACCTGCTTTCCGCTGGAGTAGGCTTGCCGCAATATAGGCCCTGTCCGGAGCTCTCCCATGGGCATCGCGAGAAAGATGCCAATCCTCTGACTCGCCGTGAAGAGGCTGCTGCGCACCAGTCGTTCGCAAACGGCCTGACCAAGGCAGGAGAAGAAGATCTACACCGACACAAGTGGCCGTGACTCCTCGCACCTCACTTTGGCGATTCAATTCAGCGTCATCCAGGATCTTCAGGCTAGCGCGCACCTGCAGAGGCTCAGACAGATTCGAGAGCGATGTGCTTGTCACCCCGTGGACCCTACATCCTAAAGTCCCACGACGTCCCACATCATGCCTGCTTGCGCAAGGCCGCTTTGGCAGCAGACACCGAGGAAGCAGAGGCGCCAAGCGACATCGCGTCTGAAGTCTGCTTGGCTTACAGCCTCGATGGTGCCTGCTTGGGCTGAATCTGAGAATATCCGAGAGCTGGAACTTTCTGGTATAGACTGCTTCAGGACTCCTGATCTCTGTGAAGTTGAGCCCGAGCTAGGCTTAGGAGGCCGCCGATGCAGACAAAAACTCCATGCACAGCCAGTGAAAACTCGAGCCTCCGCGCACTTCTGACAGCGACCTCGGCTCTACGGAGTTCGGCTTTTGTCTCCCTCCCACAGCCTTCGAATCCTTCGAGCTTCCGGCAGGTGATGGTGCCGGCATGTTCGCTGACCAGCGCTTTGGCGGCCCTGTTACGCTGCCTGGCCGCAGCATCTGGAAGCAACAGGAAGGGCCAAAGAGCGAGTGGCAAAGTCTACAGCTGCTTGCCCTTTCACGCACTTTGCGATTCTATCGTTCGTTGAAAATGCCACTTGGGTGGAAAGAGGCACAGTGCTTCACACTGTCCCAGCAACTAGGACATTTGTCACTGTTGCCAAGCACAGCCACTCTATTCATTAGCCCAGCCGTTTCGGCATTCCGGTGGAGCACGGCGCTGACATGCAGCACGTGCCCTCTGCCCCTCATGCAAGCTTTGGAATGAGGGTGCAAAGCAACATCTGACATCGCTGCTTGGTCCCTGGCCTACCGAAAAACTATAAGACAGCGGCAGGCCGGGAAACCTCTCTTACTCGGTCTCTGCATGAAGCACGGACAAAGCTTTTGCCGATTTCCAGGCAGCTTGCGCACGCACCACTTTCCTTACTTTGCTCAGATGAATGCGGTCGCTGCGTGCAGCCGTTTCAAGTCGCTCAGCCCGAGAATATGATGCAAGCAAAGAATGCCAGTCTCAAGACGGACTCTAGGATCCAGGCGAGAGCTTGTTCCACTGGGGCCGTGCAGATCTCAGATCTACACCTGGGGTAAATGGGACAATTGTGACACATGTTCACGTCTCTGCAGCTCTGCGTGTAAAGTCTGCAGGGGCTGTCAAGGCCATCACGGAGGGTTGGCTGGACCTTGGACCCGGAAACTAGAAGACACACAGAAGCGTCCCGTTCTCTGAAAGGAAGACTGTGCGCCCAGCTGGTTCCTCCTCCTCCTCGACCTTTGCAGCCTTCTTTGCAACCCACGACAGCCAGAAATCAGACACACTGTCACACAGCTTTGGCTTTCGGGCACCTCGTCCTCTTGTGCCGGAGGAGCCACCCGCCTCGTACAGCTTTGTCCTACTCTGTTGCGACTGTAGCTCAAATCCTCCGACACGACGGAGCCCAAGGCGCCAGGAGACATTACTCTCAGCCTCTCATCATGCCCAAGGGCCCAGCTCATCGACGCGGCGCTGCCGATCAGCCTGCTCGGCCTTGCTTTGGCTCACAAGTAGAGACAGAATAGAGACATAAGACTGTGTGTACATCTCTATGTACGTGTACATACACATACATGTACACATGTGCACGCATATGTACTCATATGTTTTAAAAGGAACAGGTTCGTACATACATACACATCATATACATATATGCACAATGCCCGTAGACACAAATACCCAAAGACATGTGTATGTTTCAATCCAAACCTCTGACAAACATGTATATTTGCTTCCGTTCCTATGTGCGTACATACATGCATGCATACTTACATACACACATACATGCAGACGTAGGTGCATGCAGCATACATACATCTACACAAACAACATCTATACATATATACACGTGTGAATATTCACATATGCACAAACAGACATACACACGTACAAACATATAGACATGCAAATATGCAGACGTACAGACGTACAGACATACATACATACATACATACATACATACCTACGTACGTACATACATACATGCATGCATGCATGCATGCATGCATACAAATATATGCGCATATACAACACGTGCAAATGAATGGAATTTGTGTACACAACCACACATAGACATATCTATGCATACAGATACACCTACAAACAGGTTCGTGCACATAGTATGATGCTGCATATATCTATACACATATCTATGTACACATATACATAAACTACACGTACGCATGAATACCTCAATAGCTATATGCATGAATACCTGCATCTTTATATGTACCATATAGACATATAGGCATATGGACATAGACGTATATACATTTTGAATGATTTTGACATATAATATATGCATCCGTACAAACATAGCCACATAAACGTACATGTGCATGCATGTGTACGTGCATCTCTGCGGGTGTCCATGCCTGTCCTTGGTAACATGAGAAACAGCTTCTTGAAAGCACAATCTAACAATTACCATGTTGTCTATGGGTCTACCGCATAGTGTGGTATCACATTATGTATATATAGAAATACATATATATACACACACACATACATATATGTGTGTATAAAGGTTCATACAAGTGTTTTTTAATGAACATACACAGCACCATCCACCGTACATGTCTATGTAGTTGAAGATGCGCATAGAGATATAAGGACGGCCAACCTCTTTCAGGTGAGCCACACTCCACAGCTGGCTCGCACTTTGTTCCTCCTCACTCTTCTGGAATCCGTGCACTGTCGGCGCAGTGACGACATTAAGAACACGCAGACTATCCGTCTGCCACCAGGAAATCTGCCTGGGCACACTTAAACATTCAACAAATTCACCGGCGGATCAGGCCAGGAGTCTGAGTTCAAGCAAGGCAGTCTTACAGCGTGGAGAAAACAAAGCTGGGCCTCCGAGGGCAGGGGAACTCATTCGAGCTCCACGCTGACTCATGGCAGTCCGCCGCTACGTGGCAAAGTCCTTTGACTGCGTCATTGTCAACCAGCTTCTTCAAGCAAAGAAACGGCAACTCCCACTGAAACCGATGGAAACCCGACAGACATCATCAGAGAAGCACAGCAACAGAAGTGCAAAAACACAACAAAAGAAGGGGAGGCCGCTTCATGCCGGAGCACTGGAAGGGAGCCTTCGGCTCCCACTCCTCAGCGTGAGCTCCAGGGATCCCTGGCGCTCGGAGTCTTCTTGCTCCAAAAACCTAGGGTTTAGGGTTTAGGGTTTAGGGTTTAGGGTTTACGGTCTCACATCCGCATTCTTCGCTGATCTTCGCTCAAAGAGTCATGCGGCCACACCTTTCAACTACAACGACCCAGGGAAGCAGCTCTGAGTCCTCGGATCAAAGGCACACCGAGCACCGCACCAGTGGCATCTGGACGGCTTTCCATGCAGAGACCTTGTGGTAGAATTATCATTGGCAGGGAAACCTCCTTCTAGTCCCTATACATACGGAAAAACCTCAAGTTTTGTGAGACCCTAAAGTCCCTAAAGACCCTCAAGCCTCTGGGCCCCATTGGGGCACGGAATTTTCTTGAGGGAAAACAAGCTGAGCCAGGAGCTGCCTTAACGCAAATTGCAACGCATTCTGCCTTCGACTTCGATTGCCTCAGATCCAGGGTTTAGGGTTTCGGGTTTAGGTCGGCCAGAGTAATTTAGGGTTAGTAGTAAGGATTTCTATGAACAGCTCTGTTTGGGGTTTGGGATTTTGCGGCATGGTACCGGTCATCGTCTACAATAACAGATTTGGAGAGCCCAGCGAAGGCTTTGCAAAAGTGTCCGCATCTTTTCGCTCAGATGAACTGCAGTACTGTGTGTCCGGCGGCCATGGTGGCGGCAATGTCACCTGTCATCCACACCGAGCTCACATCCCCCCAAGTCCTTTTGATCACGAACCCCGGGCCTCAGTGACCAATCCTCCGCAGGAGCCGTTGCCTCGAGAGCATTACAAAGATTGCGCAAAAGCTGCTTCCCTCCACCCGAATCACCACTCTTCAGTCTTCCTCTCCCACGGCCTCCTGCAGCTCCCTCTGCCACTGCAGAGCAAAAAGGGCCTCGGGACCGTTCGGATATGTCAGCAAAGCTCCACCACTCCTTCCAGGCCCGGGGTCCTGACCCCGAAAAAGATGCCAATGACCAGGGCCGCACGTGCCGCGCGGCGCGGTAAACGAAAGCAGACCTCCTGTCGCCAAACGAAATCCCAAGAAGCTGCTAGTAGCACTTTGCCCTGCAACTTGGAACAAACATGAACAGAACAGCGAAGACCAGCGTACTCCCGTGAAACAGCATCCAACGGCCGTCCTGTGGATGCGCCACGCCCTCTTCGAGCAGCTGGGTCATGCCAACTGTGTGAAACCGCCTCTCCGTGCGGGCACCGGAAAGCTGCTGCGTTTCGCACTAAATCGATGCAGCTGACTCCTAAACGTCCAGCCTGGCGATTTGCACTTCGGACGATCTACGCGCAGCCTGCACCCTAGCAGAAGATGCACCTGCTTGTCTGCAATGCTTTGCTTCGTCTCATTGCTGGGCTACTCTGCATGTCGTTTTCGCAGGTGTGGAAACTGCACATTTCAGACTCCCTTCATGTTCATCCTTCACGCTTGGGCCTTCTGACAGCCAGTGCAATTCAAGAGCGCATCGGTCCAAAAAAACCGTGAGTCTAAGTCTAAGCGTCGCTCCCTTCTTTGGGCTTCCAGTTCACGCTGTTCCCGGCGCAGTTGCTCCTCCTTGGAAAATAAAGGATAAACGCCCGCATCCCATGAAATCGGAAAGCTGGGGACCACGCCGACTCCTGAAGTCGTGCATGTTCGGCCTACAACTCTGATGTCATTCTACTATAACCGATACACAGTAATAACAATGATAACAATAACATACAATAACAGTATGAGACGAGTAATAAGAACAATACGATCATCATTATTAAGGAAACTCATCACACTTTTCCT